TGGCTCCTCCAGCCCATCCCAAACTTCATCAACAAGCTGCAGCCCCAGATCTGCTCGGTGGAGCTGTTCTGGAAATTGCTGTGCTCCTCATTCCCGCTGTTCCTGGGGGTCTGCAGCTCCTGCTTTGCCCATCCAGATCCCCCCTCGTTTGGGCTGCTCTTCCTTCTCCCCCCTTCGGCTCCCGTGAAGTTCTGGGTGGGCGCTGCGGCCGCCTCCATGGAAGAGGCTGCTGCTCCTTTTTAAACACTGGCAAGGCAGCAGCAGCAGCCCCAGCTGGGTGTCACCGTGTGCTCCCGTTCCTCCCAGCGCAGAGCCAGGCTTTGTGCTGGAAGCTTTAAGCTCCAGGAGGCTCCGGCTGAAATTCGGTCAAACCCAGCGCTGCTCCCGAGTGGTTCCAGCAAGGAGGGAAGGGAAAATCCCTCGGGAGGAGCACAGGGATGAGAGCCAGGCCAGCCCAGGGCAGTGCCACAGTGAAGGGGAGCCGTTCTCAGCCCAGCCCCGGGGCACCGAGATCCCAAAAATCAGCGGGGAGCCGGCGGCGACAGCACGGCACGGGAGACGTCCCCAGGTCCGCCCTGGGAATATCCATTGAATGTGAAGCTTTACCCCCATCCCCTTGTGCTGCTTTTCTGGGATCAGGATTGATTTCCCCCTCCCAGGAGCGGCGTTTTCCCGGTTTTTCCTGATTTTGCCCGTCGGCTCGGTGCAGGTGACATCTCCTGGCACTCCGGTGTCCCTGCTGTGGCATCCTCGGGAGAGGGCAGGGAGCTCCCAGGAATGTGCGGGGCAGCCCCTGCCCGCGGCTGACCCCGCTTGCACTCGGCTCTTGGTAGATTTGTTTACAGTTAGTCCAGTGTCGGTTCTGTAACGTTTAATTTTTAGCACTTTAACTGTGAGTGTACAAACTGGTTTCCCTTGTAGTCGGTGTACATTTTCATTTTAGACCTTTGGAAGTTTTTAATAAAACGATGGAAAAAACTCTGGCAACGGGTTTTCAATTCTTTTCCTGTGGGCGTAATCCTACCCCCGTTAGAAACCCAGTTCAGCAGCAGTTGAGATATAAAGGTTAAAGAATTAAAATATCAGATTTTACTCTGGCCAGCAGCTCTGTGAATTTGAAGAAAGACTTTCTAGGTTTAATCTCCCGCCAGCATCTGCGCTCGTGGACGCCGGGCACGGTTCCAGCAAGCACAGAGCTCTGGGCAGGTTTGGCTCCGGGTTGCTCGGTGCTTTGGAAGAGCGGAGCTCTGAAACCAGCAGGATTTCACGGCAGACGGGAGGGGAGAGCAAACAGGTTTGGGAGCAGCAGTGCCAGGGATGTGTGCGGGGTTTACTGCCAGACCCAGGCTGAGGACAGGATGATGATGTGTCTGAAGGAGCTGCCTGGCCCGTGGGAGGACACAGGGTGGGTTTGGGTTGGAAGCTGCGCGC